CGGACTATTGTCCTCATCTTTGTCGCCATATTTGTCACAACGTGACTAATGCCTGTGTGTACGCTATCCCGTGCAGCTGCGGAAAGAAAAAATAAAGGATAGACAGGCCTCCCCCTCAAGGTAAGGCTTCAAGAACACCAGGAAGCTGTAACGCGAGGCGTTGGTTAGATCCAGTGACAGACCCAAAGAAGGTGAGTTCAATACCTGGTTAAGGCAGTGGAGAACTTTCAGAGGGAAAATTAGCAGGAGATAACTAATAACTGACATCAATCAAACATGGCACGTGGAACTAGAACAGTCTACCCCAGTGATCGAAATAAAGGGTTCAGTTCGAAATTCCAACCACCTGAAGAAGGCCGGAGCGTACAACGGCCGAAACGTTGTTGTAAACTATTTTGATGGCGGGTGGTATGTATGCATTTATTCAGGTAATTTCTGGTATTTTTAATATATGGATCAATGGGGTTCTTTCGTTCATATGATTGGCTCTAATATATCGATTTTTGTAATCGTTGGTGATAAATGTTCGGTTGTTGTTACTGTTTGTGAAGAAGTATTCCTTTAATTTAACTTTACAGAGAAAATTGTCCAAGGCGTAACAAAAATAAACAGGGTTCAAATCTCTGGACGGACAAAATGAAAGTCTTTTGGATAATATCAATTTTCTCCTGCTTAACATTGTATACGTTCAAAGGATTGCTTTGTAGGGTTTCGTATGGGTTGGCCTGGTTATGCTGATTGTGACATATAAGCAGTTTATTGTTGTAGATAGACTTATGTATATTGTTAAGGTATTGCAAGAATTGGACATTTTTAAACTACTTCTTTTTTGTGCATATTGCATTTGTCAAGATGTTTATTGCAAATGGTTTTTACAGCATAGAAAGCCACGGTATAATGTTTGATGGTCATTTAATTGTAGAGAATAATGTCTGTGCTTTTGAACGTGTGTACTGATTATAAGAGGTGGGTTTAAGAGCAATGTTTCATAGTCAAGAAGTAGATTCATAGATCTGCTGCGCTATAGGATGTGTGCTTGCGGCACTGAAAATTGTTTCACAATTTAAGTCCTTTAGGAATAATATTCATTTTTTGAAAGCGCTTAGGACACGAATGTCCGATTTTTTTTGTGCAGATTTCTTCAAATTATTTTCCTTTTGTCTTCTAGCGTGGAATTGAGTTGATTGGAGAAAGGGTCCAAAATACACGATAGTAAAAAAAAAAAAAAGGCCAACATATGCTTTATATAATATGTAGTTATAATAGGCCCATGGGGGGAATTCGAGAAATATCAAAATGAAATATATTGATAATAAAACTAGCAATATTCATGTCGTTTTGAGGCACGGTGGAGACGTGGATAGCGGCTTGGATTGAGGAATCGGAGAGCCGATTTCGAATTCCAGTCGAATCCATTATATTCACTTATGTGCTAATACCCTTGCGAAAGGTGTGAATTTTCTTCTTTTCCTTTCAGCTATGGGTAAATAGCAGGACAGACAGGGTTCTATAGCCTTGGTCGGCAACTTGTCTAGGAGAAGGCCACTTTGAATTAAAACCCGGGTTGGATCTCCGAAGGTGGATGGACGGACGGCACTTTGTGTTACCTTCCGGCAACTCCTGCAGCCGCGCTGGTAACAAACTATATTGGTTTATCCTCTCCTTTGGACTCTGCTAGCAAGGCCGAGAGGGGGAACTAGATGTCTAGGCAGCCCTAGTTCTTCATATATTCCGCCCAGGCTCGTAGCGCACCGCGCTACTCCATCGTATCTCGAGACGGACGGATGACGACGATGGGAGTAATCGTTTTGTATTTTGTAACGCTAATATTAATATTTCTGGAAAAGGAAAGATTCGGTAATCATAAACGAGCAGCCAGTAACGCTGTCCGTTGAAATTTTAAGATCGTTCTCTTTCTATTATTGATGTTGATTTCCTTTCTAACATTTCATTTAAATTAGGGTGAAATTTCAACATTTTCATTTTGCCATGATAATCCCTTTATGTGATATCTATTTTACCTTTTACTGCTGTTGTAAGTCCTCAAATGATGTGGTTTCTGTTGTCTAGTATAGTAGATTTTGTGATTCATTAGCTTTAGTACACCAGGTTATTCCAGTTAACACAGGCTTTACATTATTCGGACTTTTATCCCCATCTTCATTGCTATATTCACAAGATGTCGGCCATTGTAAGCTACGGCCTATTCAGGTGATTGGAATTTCGAACCAAAACCTTTAATTCGAAAATCTTGATAGATTGTTCTAGTTCAACTGTCCATGCCACTTCCGGTGTCTGTTATTTCCTTTAATTTACCTCTCCACTTTTTTGGTACACCACAGCTGTAGCCTGGTATTGAACTCACAACTCTTTGGGTCTTATTCACTGGGACAAGTGTCCTTGAGGACACATGGCCCAGTGGATAAAAGCTTTGGTTAGATCCAGTGACTAGACACAAAGATTTGCGAATTAAAGGAATAGGAACATGTGGAGTCATTATCGTCTACATACTAAAAGTATGTCATTAAAAAGTTATTCATATCTTAACTCACTTTTTGTTTATTGAAACCATTATGGAAGGACAATACTGTAGTAAACTGTAGTAATACTTAGTATCTGAATAAATAGTAAACTTCACGTGCATATCTTAAGAGTAAACATTATATTAACTATTTCAATTGGAAATCGAACCCGGATTGCTAATTGTTGAGATAACCTCAATTGCTTTTATCTTCAGTATATAACTAAGGCGACATAAGCATGTCATGTGTCAGGATTTCATCCTCAAAGTTTTAGATATATAATCGCTTGTGTGTATATACTGCCTTTTAAGCCTATCGCCTCAGTAAATACGATTATTTGACAGTTTGCTCTGGCACGTGCGCACAATGCCAAGAATATTACAGAATGGATCGCCGAATCCAGAAATAGACAACATTCCCTTTCTAAATTCAGGTACTCAATTACAAAAGGAAATAACTTTGAATGAAAGCAAATTATTACGCATTCTTTTGGTAACAACAAAGATGAGGATGAGATCAAATTCAGATATAGTGGATGTAGCAATAACATTCAGCAAGATTCACTCATATTCTTTAGAAAAATGTATGGAAAAACGTAACGATTGAAAATGCAAGTGAAAGATTGTTTTTTCTAATACGACCTGAGCAGATTCTTCGAAAAAGTTTTCTTTGGAATATAGTCATTTTTTTTTCTAATACTACTTGAGCAGATTCTTCGAAAAAGTTTTCTTTGGAATATAGTCATTTTTTCTAATTGACAGATTCTTCGAAAAAAGTTTTCTTTGAATAGATTTTTTTCTAATACTACCTGAAAAAAAAGTTTTGAAGAGGCGCAAAGTACCCAAACAACCCTCCGCAGGTTTTGAATTCAGAGTTGTCCTCCTAGACCCGCTGCCATCCAATGCTTTAGAACCTAGTCTGTATTGCTATTTACCAAAGGCTGGTGGGGAAGAAGGGAATTAATACCTTTCCCGAGTGTACTAGCACGTAAGTGAATGTAATGGATTCGATAGGAAAACGTACTCGGCTCTCCAATTCCGCAATCCGAGAGCGCTAACCACGATTTCACTGTGCCTCCTTATGTAAGGGTCAGCCTATACTCAGCACCCGAAGACAGCATTGTGCATGAAACTCCGACGCATGATAGTAGTGAGGGATAATATATTGATATGTCCCGGAACGGTATATATTTGTTCGAAGTAGGAAAGTGGTTTTGGACTACTGTAACCGGGTAGGACAATCTAGAAGATAACCGTAATGGACTGGTCCTCGTCGTAGTGTTAGGCAATAGGCAGAGGCAATAGGCGCAGGCAATAGGCGAAGACTATAGGCGTAGCCAATAGGCGTCCTTGTACTTCCAGATCAGTCTGTATTTATGTCTGACACCAGCCAATCATATTACTGTGAGAGGGAACAGAGGTGTATGCATATTCATTACATCATATATATATATATATATATATATATATATATATATATATATATATATATATGTTTGCGTGTGTGTGTGTGTGTGTGTGATTGTGCGTGTGCGCGCGTGTTTACGTGTTTTTAAGCGCAGGTATATATTCGTGTTTGCCTGTCAGTAAGGCAACAATGTGTTATCATGTGTAGATAACTAAAAATAAATGACTGTCAGCCTAATATAGTCTGATGTCTATTATCTGCACAGAGTCCTGAATATTTGAACGGAAAGAAAAAAATCTATATAATGTTAATTTTGAAACGATGTATATCTCTACCTTTCACTATTGTGTCTGGTAATATTGCAAATAATAGAAATAAATTTGAGGGAAGAACAGCGTTTCACGTGTTGTTAAATAAGACGATGCGAGGCGAAATTTCCATTAGAAATTTGTCGCAAATCTTTTGTTGCTGGAAAATTTCCGCGTCTGTTCAAACACAAAGGAATGAAAATCGAATGGCACAAGATGTGCAGGAGTTTTAGTTTGAATTTTGTTTTTCGTGAGTCGGGGCAACGTTCTACTATTCAACTCTGAATATCATTGGCGAGATTTGTGAAATAAGTCAGAGCATAAAATATCACTTAAGCAAAAGAGGATGGCACTATTTGCATTCTTTCTCAGTGTGTTGAAAACAAATGAGAACAATAAAAGTGGACACTAATTTGCTTGAAATCGTAAAATTAATTCGCACAAATAAGTTGTAAGTTGAAGGCTATTTCTTATATCGCCATATTGGTATTCGCAAAATATTTCCGAAGGCGAAACTCTCCAGTTTCGAAGGTAAAATGTTCCACATTGGGTCGACCCTAGTCACGAGAAACTATTTGATTCTTCTCGAATGGTCAGGATATGCATGTATTTACCAAATAATGTCTGAGTCATAAAGTAGCTATAGGAGACATGTTTTTTGTAATGAAATTGCATTTAATAAAATTACACAGGCACAAAGAATCCCCCCCCGCGTGCGCACACACACACACACACAAACATACACAATGTCCATCTCTCGCAGTCTGTTAATATCTATCTATCTATCTATCTATCTATCTATCTATCTATCTATCTATCTCATTCTGTTCATATATATTTATCCCTTTATCTATCTATATTTGTATGTATTTAATAACTCAGGTATGAATAAAACTATATATAAAGTTCATATAATTAAAGTAATGAAAAGAGGAAGGCTTTTTATTTCGACCCCTTTCATTCCTTGATGAACTTTATCAGGGAAAATGAAGAAACTTTATTTAGAATGCTATATGTTTATATAAGGAAATGTATAATGTTTGGCATTCAATTTTGAATTAGATAACACACTAAATTATTCGAAGTGTAAACAAAAGAAAACTATGTTGGATGCTAAGTGATATACATTTTTGACATTTAATCACTGAATTTGAAACACACGCACACACAAGGAGACACAGGCGCACACACTGATATATATATATATATATATATATATATATATATATATAATGGACTCTCTCGTCGGTTACGACGTATGATGATCTGAGAGCTTATTGATTCAGTCATGAAATTCTGCCCGCTAATCCTAAGTGGCATTTAAGACCCACTAGTGATTTACAAAGGAGGCCACATATGGAGCAAGTGTAAGGATTGTGAGATGAGATCACTGTTAATTTGGCTGACCTTTTAGATTTTGCTCTCGCTTCTTGAAGATGATTCAGACAAGCAGATTGAAAATTGTTGAGTCCACTAAAACATGTTGATCTCCATTCTACCCGCTCCAAGGCTAGGCGCTCAAGGGTGTTATAAGGTATATTGACTGCTGATATATATATATATCTAAAGAAGCAATGAACTAATGGATTTATTTGCAATCCAACATTTTTCTTATTACTTCAAGGATTATTATAGTGAATAATCTATATTTGCTTTAGACGCTCCATCATCGCCGTTGCCAGAACTTATTGACCAATATTAAGGTGCTCATCGATATTTCCTTCAGTGTGAAATGAATCCTTTGTTAGTTTTGAAGAGACGTCTGCATCCACTGCATGGAAGGGTAGGAGGCTTCAAAAGTTGTAGTGCTCTGGCTTTTCTTTGGGCTCTTTTCCTCTATTTCATTTCTCTTCTGGTTTTTGAGGAAGGATGCTGTTTTTTAATTTACGTCGACTGCTCTTCTCCAATTGGTTCTTTCTTCAGCTTCCGTCTCCAAATTGAACGGATCGATTTCTGTTCACAGCAAGTCGTTTTTCGGGATGATTCTGGAATCTACGATCTCGGGCTCCACGTGATCTCTTCTCAGACTTGAGTTCTGAGAAGAGGATTTGTTTTGGTAGGCAGATGTCTGGCATTTGGGAAAGGTGTCGAGATGTAATGGTTTCTAGGCCTTCCATCATTGCGCGAAGGAAAACGTCGATGGTTGTAATCCGCTCCTGACACTTGGTCCGCAGGATTAGACAAAGGTTCATTTGATGGAATCTTTTAAGGTTGACAATGTCTCTTTCGTAGAGTAGCTTAAAGGCGTATATGAAAGTCCATATTACAAAAGCTCGTTTGGACATGAACTTGGTGGTTTGATTAACAGGGACACAAATCATACACACAATTTAATAAATAAATAAGGGACGTCTGTTTCCAATGCTGAGTATTCACTATAATATAAGAGAGAGGGGAGTGATGGAAAGACTGCTATACAAAAAGACAGTCTGATGAAATCAGTACAATACCTTATTTACCATTATTTTTTATTCCTAGGATGTTATAGCTATTGGGCGGTTGATTGATATTTTTTTAAGGTGAAAATTGTTATTCTCTGAGTACTGACAACGAATTCCGATAATGATTCCATCGTTTAGAGACTAGGTACACGCAATATTTATTTTACACATTATTTTTGTACATAAAAATTTAACTTTTCTGAATGACCATTAAACTTTGTTATATCTTCAATTGTAAAATCAATAAGTATCTTTTGTTAAATATAATTTTCATTTCTTCTGTTAACCAGACAGTAAAAATCTGTCTTAGAGAATGTATTAGTGATTCAACTGCAAGCCACTAAAATTCGGAAAATGGAATTATATTTACATGTGATTGTAAAAAAAAACAACAAAAAAACAAAATCTAGGCAGAATGTTGGTAGCACAAGCGAGAGAAAAACAACCGAACAAAGTGTGAGGCAATCATGAGTTCCCATTTAGGCATTTAATGGGAAATCAGAAAAGAAAAGGAAGCGATCTTAACTCAAAATCACCAAGCAAATAAGTAGTTTTTAATCACCGTTAATTTAGCCTTCACTATGCACAGTTCTGGAACACGTAATGAGAAAGGAAGGCTTGAGAAATCTGATACTCCCAAGGGGGAATAGAGGGAAAGGGGGATAAAGGAAAGCAATGCGTGACTTACTTAACGCGATTAAACAAGTGGGTAGCAAAACAGGGTCAGAGGGAAATAACAAAAGTCAAAGGTTATTGAGAGCTACAAGAGAAAGGAGGAAATGGAGAGACATGATCGTCTACGTCACGAAGGGTCATGATGCATAAAAGAAGATGAAGATTAAATGTTAAATTCTATGGGCCTTCTTTTCTCATTATATGGCGCAAAATTTCCAGCTGTTGCTTTCTGATTGTAAATTCTATTCTTGTAAAATCTCCGTTCCTCATAGGCTTTTTCTTTATTTGACAGTATTATAACTTTTATGTTTCTCCAAGTCTCTTTTTCATCTGTGTGGATATCTTCCAGTATTAAATACTATATAGGGACATCAGTCAAAATGTGTTAGTTCAACATTCTTTTTTTAACTTCCAATGACTTTCTTCTATCACTTAAAATGTATTTTCTGGGATACATATTACTCTATTCCTATCCATCTTTAGATTGTCTGTCATTTTCGTACGCCACTGGCCAGATAATTAAATATTTGTACTTGCTTTGATGTGTGCACTCTGTAACTCAGATATTGGACTGTCTCTTTGGCGGACGAAGATAACTTGTGTTTTCTGACATTTAATAATCTGTCATCAGGACAGTCACTAATTATTATCGATATGAAAACTAAAGCAAGAGGAGGATTTATTTATACATTTCCTGTCCCATTCATAGTGTAAAGGGAGATAAATCAACTAAAATTAATAATTAATGAGCGATAACTACGGGTAGTCGCTTTAATAATCTAAACAAATATATATTTGCAACTAGACCAGATTTACCAAGCAAAATAAACCGTTTAATTAATCAATTGATTTGCTCGTAAGTTTCTTAAATTGCAGTCTAATTTGTCTAAGATTTTCACATGAGGCACTCAAATACCGATGTCATTTAAGGGATCATCTTGCTTCGATTTGGTATTGAAATAACTTTTATTTTGCCCCATATGTCGATTGTTGCTAATATTTTTTCTCGCGGGAGATATTTACATTTCACTGTTATATGAAAAGCGGTTTATATAATTATAGAACTAATGAATGGATCATACTTATTATAAAACCCAGGTTGTGTGTGTGTGTGTGTGTGTGTGTCTGTACGTTTATATATTGGATCGGATTTCCGAGATTTTTCAACCGATTTCAATAAAACTTCACAGGACTACGTAAAATTACCTTGCAGTGGTTCTGACAGCGCCAAAATTGGAAAAACACAATTGTTTTTTTTTGCACGAAATCAATTTGAAAACACGATTAAGAGGCATCACGAGAATGAAAAGGGGGAGAACTTTTTTTCGAAGTTAGTGTTTCTTATTGTCTTGCACACTTTTTTCTTTATTTTTACATTCAGAATGCTTTAAAAATTCCATTTACAAGACAATTGTTTTAATAAAATTCTATTCTATCGGTCGACTCATAACGATTGAAAACAATGTTTTTGTTTGAGTTTGACCAATTCGTAAAACAAAACAAAAAAAAAAACAAAAAAATAACTAATTAAGACATGCGTGTCCGTCAACCTTAAACAATAATCTTTGTCAATTTTATTTTTCAATCTTTATGATGGTCGATACTTGATCTATCTCTTACTGTTACATCCCCGGGCAACGCCGGACGCTACTGCTAGTCATAAATATCAAACAACTTCTAAAAAATAAAAAGGGAAATGAACGGGCCATTAGCCTCTATTTTACTCGTGTAATTATTTATCTCCACATTATTGAATCTCAATTGATTGTTTCAAGACATTTATTTCATGAGATCTCAATATTGAAACATTCTAACAATCGCCGTCATTTTTGACGGCACGGGTACACTCTTACTACTACTACTGCGATTACAACTACTACTACTACTATTACTAATAATGAAAATAATAATGATGATGATGCAGATGCCATCAAAATAAAGTGGTCTTTCTTCTGTATGAGCCTATGTAGGAATTATAAATTTTAAGTCGACGATAAATGGCCCCGCCACAAGCCAGAGATAATGACCAAGAACGACCAAGTCAAGCTCTTGTGGGATTTCACCATCCAAACAGACCACGACCTCGAGGCCACCAAACCAGACATTACAGTCGTTAAAAGTAGGTTTCGCATATATGGAGCACAACGTCATTAGGGTGGCGTGTGCTTCTTACAATGAGATAATAATAATAACGACAAAAGGGAGAATTATTATTATTATTAGTAGTAGTAGTGGTAGTAGTAGTAGTGGCAGTAGCGGCAGCAGCAGAGGACGAGAAAAAAAATTAAATTAATCATTGGTAAATTTAATTATTCATAGCAAAATCTACGAAAATTATATATACTTCAGTGTCCGTCAATATATATATATATATATATATATATATATATATATATATATATATATATATATATATATGTGTGTGTGTGTGTAAAGTTTCAAACACTAATATTCCATGGTTATAATTTATTATATGGAATATTAATGTTTGAAACTTTTATATTATATTCTTACTCTGTCCTGTATATTGAGTTCTACCTGGATTCTATCCTATTGGGGATATATATATATATATATATATATATATATATATATATATATAGATAGATAGATACTGATCACTAACATTATCAACATATATATATACACTAAAACAAACACACACACACACACACACACACACACACACACACACACACACATATATATATATATATATATATATAGTGATTTTCCAAGCGTAGCTTAGATGTGGCAC